GGTAGCCGTTGCATCAGCACTTTGAAAGTTCTAAAATATCATGATGTCGGATTTTCAATATTTTTTCAAGTTTACGAGATCTAAACGGGACGGACGACGGACAGACAGACCACACAAAACTAATAGCGGCTAATCCCCTTTCGGTGGCGCCATAGACATTTTAATTAATATGTCTATATGGTAGCCGCTATGAAAACCATTTTCCTAGATATATAGGTTTGTGCAGCTATGTTTAATCGAAGTGCCTATTCCCAACCAGCTGGGAATATGCTTTAGCCCTATTCCCAATCGTTTGTTCAGGTCAAATGAGGTCAAAACCTTATACCCAGTCAACTGGAAGTGGTTCTTATGTTAAAGGTCAAACAAGATGGCAGGAATCAATCATACGGGCTTAGTCCACAGTCACTGATTTGATTTACACTTTTAACATAGATCTAGTAAAACTAGATATAGTATTGTTCACTTTATCTAGATTGACTAGATCTAGAATCTAAAGTTTTTTCATTACATTAAAAAAAACAGCATGAAAAGAATTTAGCAATGACAATTAAATGTAAGGTTGTAATAGTATTTCTTCTATTATTTGCTTTAATAAATGTATGTCATACATAAGACAAAAAAAAACAACACCAAAGTCTCTGTTGATTGTGTTGTGCTATTTATGTAGGAGATTTAAAACTGCATGGCAAGAACACATTGATTTCTAGCTTTGTTAATGATATAAGGTTAAAATACAAGAAAAATAATAATTTTTCCCCACATTTAAAAAGGTGCCAGTATCGTATGCCGTATCGGATCGCACAGTCACAAAAAAAAGTCCCATTGCCCTGTATATGAATTGTTTAAAAAATGTTTATAAATTATAATTAGTCTATAGGTCATTCATAAATAATAAATTAAAATTATAAACATTAACTAAGAATGCTAACAAAGAAAGACTTAATAAGTAAATCTGTAAATCTCCTCTTCTACTATACATAAAGGTGCATAACAAACCAAATATGTATGACATATCAAACTAGCAGTAATAGTTGAACATAATATTTCTTCTCTATTATTATTGCTTTAATAAATGTATTTCATACATATGACCAAAACAAAACCCAACAAAAACAAAGTCTTGGTTGATCGACAAACTTTTTTTTTGGTGGGTGGAGGGGCATTATATTTTATTGATATAAAAAAACATAAATGACATAGAAAAATAGAAATTAACAAAGTAATGTGTATGTTTTCAATTTTATAAAATTTCAAACCTAGAAATCATACAAGTATATTAATGACATCAAATGAGAGAAATATTTATTTATTGAAATGGTGCTAAGATTGGTTGGATAATGATCATATGTATAGAACAAGATCCATTGATTTTTATTGCGGTACAATCTCTCAAAGATATCCTCTACTTCCACCACAACTTGGCCTTAGATTATAAAATCCTGTGTAGGATATATCCTACCCACCTGCCTCCCCTATTTCACCTATTTGAGAACAATAAACTTTGATATCCCCTATCCTATATTGAATAGAATCAACATAAATGAAAAAACTCTCAGCTTTACAATATACTTAGCATTTTACTATGTGTCTACACATGCTATTGCTTTGCAACAAACTTTAAACCCCATTCTCCCCAATTACATTTTTATCTCTGCCTAGTTTTGATAGTTCCTCTTTTTTATTATAGCCATCCTCAATGCACTAAGTTTTATAATGAAGATGGGAGCGGGAACATTGTAAACACATGTCAAAAAATATCAACAAGCAGTATATAGGCCTCAAAAAAAAAATGTTGAATTGAGTGCTTAAGTCAAAGCCAAGTCAAAAAAAAAAATTTAATTGGAGATAATGTGACCAGGAATGAAATGAAAACAAAAACAGTGAATAAATATATTTTATTTATCTTATAGCTATTACAAATATTCAGCTCAAAGATTTAACAAAAATACGACCTAACAATTCTATAATAAAATAACCTATAAAGTATACATTGTTCCTTTAATTACATTAGGGAAAAAATAATAGAAGTTTAATAAATTGTAAAGATTTATCAATATCAAACAAATTTTATTTTATAGCTATTTTCTATTATCTTCTTTTAAATCAATCACTTAAAAAAAAAATTAACATTTAACTGAATAGGATTTGACCTAAACACAGTGGACTGGGAATAAGGTTTTGACCTAATTTGACCCTGTTGACTGTGAATAGGGGTTTGACCTTATTTGACCCATCCATCCGGTTGGGAATAGGGTTGAAGCCTATTCACAACTGGTTGGGAATAGGGTCCGCCATGTTTAAAAGGTTAAGTCCCATTAATTCTTGTTCCCATTTTCGACTTAGACTATATATTTCGTAAACAATGATGGCGGACTCCACGTTTGAAAATAGTGTAAAACTTGGTTTTATTGAAGAAGATACAGATTTACGTTTATTGAGAAGTAATTTTTTCCCTAGTAAAGTCGGAGGTAAACCTTCCTGGTTGTCTCTTAGCCCAATACCTGAATCTGAAAACTTACAATGTATGAAATGTAAAGGCATGTTGATTTTCCTAATGCAAGTTTACGCTCCATTACAAATAAGAGACGATACTTTTCACCGGACTATTTTTGTTTTTATTTGTCCCAAAGCCTCCTGTTGTTCACCGGATGATGGTAGCAACTTTAAAATATTAAGATCACAACTATCACTCGTAAATAGCTTCTTTAGCAGTGATCCACCTAATGAAGAATTGCGTGATGATGAAAACATGGACAGTTTCCCAAATGCTGCTAAACTTCAATCTCTATGCTATGTCTGTGGTATCAAAGGAAATAAGAAGTGCTCCCAATGTAAAAGAACTCCATACTGCAGCAAAGAACATCAGCTTTTTGATTGGAAAGCTGGTCACAAGCAAACATGCTCTCAAGAATCTGAAAAAGGTAATAATAATAATAATCTTTATAATATTGTCCGTATGGAAATTTGTCTTACAATTTGTGCATTGCATTAGAAGCCTTTTAATTTAAGTTCTTGTAGATCTAGATTTTTCAAAAAGAAATATGATTAAAAAGAGAAAACTTGAAATCAAGTTTAGCGTGATAATACTACATAGCCACAGTTTGGCAAATTAGAGAAGCTGCTCCAATAAAACTGTTGCCTAATTAAAAAAGATATAAGAGCTATGTATGATACTGTTATACACTTGACAAACGCTTTATAAATGATGAATGCGAGAGATTATCCTCATTGAATGCTACTAGTGACATCTAGATATGGTGACTAGAAGAAAAACTTGTTTAACAACATATACAGACGTAGAACAGTTTGTATTTGATAAAGTTAAATGCCTCCTCACTGGAAGAATTTAATATATATTTTAGTTGCAAACCTTTTCATAGTAGATTCAAGGACAACAGTTTTTTTAAATAAATAACTCGACTTTTTTTATACTTTGTGATGATTCCAAACCTTCTTTAGTACAATTCTAATTCATTTTACTTTTGCTTCAACACAGAAGACTACAAATCTGCTTCAGGACTTCTGTTTAAAGAATTTGAACTAGTGACTGAAGAAGAGGAATACTCAGAGGGTGATAGTAACAACAGTAAGAGCGAGGAAGAACGTCTTATGGAATATGAGCGGCTAATGAGATCACCGCAGCTACAGGGGCTGGAAGGCAAGTACCAAGCAGAAGAACTAGAAAAATCTGCCACAGCTGAGACAGAAGATGATAAGATATTTTTGAAATTCAAAAGACGCATTGGATCTGAGCCAACGCAGGTGATTTATTTTAGTCTAGTACCCTAGATAAATTTCTTATTTTAATGTATTTACATACCTGGCTACATTTTATGTGTTTTAGTTTTTTTTAGTACTCAATGAATAAAAACACTTATCTATCAATGTTGGTAAAGTGTAAACAAAATGTTTATCAGTTTAGAAAATGAAGCTGCTGAATAAACCCAAAACGCCACTTGTTTGTATGAATTATTAAATGCTCTCTATAATTACAGTGTCACATATTTATGTTGCCTCTTTCTTGACAGGTTTTACGTTATGAAAGATGTGGTGTTCCCTTGTGGGTGTCCTCGACTCATCAACCAACTCAGTCAGATATTCCAAATTGTTCATGTGGTGCCCCTAGGATATTTGAGTTTCAGGTTAGTGGACCTTTTGTGATCCATGATTTATTTTGTTTTAAAAGTCAAATTTAAACAATTAAAAATCAAATTTAAAAAAAAAAATATAAACTATGCTTGGCTTTCAATTCAATTCAATATTTTTTTTAAAACAAAACAATACAATCTTATCTATGCATTCTTGAATCTCAATTAAAACTTCACAAGTCCACGTGTAAATTTAATAGGCCAGCATAAAAGTATTGTAAGAAAGAGTCGAGAGTACTCTTACTAAGGGATTATTTTTAAAACTATTTATTTATTGTTCTGTTTTTAACTAGAATCTCATTAATTTAAACCAGTCCTAACCAAGTACCTCATAAATCTAGTGAAAATAATTAAATCATTAATTAATTTGCCATCAACAGCTAATGAAGTTAACCAGGGCAAATTTGTTAGTCTATAATTGTTACATATCTTTTTCGTAGGTCATGCCACAGTTGTTAAATTATCTTGCTGTTGATCGACTGGATGCTAGTTTGGATTGGGGAACTTTGTGCATCTACACCTGCAAAAACAGCTGCTCTATTGGAAACATGTATAAGGAAGAATTTTTATGGAAGCAAGATTTTCAAAATGCTAAGCTTTGAAGTAGTGATGGGGATCTTTTTTTGTTTTGAGATTTAGTTTTAGGTATCATTTATTGATGAAACTGTGTGGAGTTCTGTAAACCAATCTACTAAAAAATATTTAATGTTCATTCTTTAATTAATTTTTTAAAAAAGCTTCTTAAATGAACTAGTAAAAGTGTGGGGCATTGAAATAATAGGTAGCTTTTGAAAGTGAAGTCTCAATGTTGTTGTTTTTTTTGTTATTTTTTGACAATATTATCATAGGAAAGTTTTTTTTTTTTTTTTTTTAATTTAAACTCCAGAGTTAACCTTTTGTACAGTGAAACTTATTTAACTGCATAGTTACCTTTTTGCGTGTTAAACTAGACCATGTGTATAAGCTGAATGCCTTAAATGATAAAATAGTAGATCTTTCCCCACTTGACACTATCTGTGTGGATAGTGTAATTGAATGATTCTCAGAAAAAATATGTTATTCTGATTCATTAATTAAACTTGTGTATTTTGTTAAGACCACTTTCAAGATTGCTATTTAATATCTCATAAGTGTGCAATAAAATGTAGTAAAGAGAAGATATTTGTTTTATTGAAGTCTTTCGATTTGCATTATGTGTTTTGTATTTCTCAAACAGTAGTACATCATTGTAATTTTAATGGTTTTGAGAGACTTAATCATAAGTTGTTGGGCTTAGAATTTGTCATGAGTAATATTTTGATTGTTAAAAAAAAATTGTCAAGGCAGTGATTATTGGTCCAAGCTGGGTAAAGCTTACTCCTACCAAATGTGTGAGATGCATTCATGTACTGTTTATTTGGTTATCAATTTCATTGATATATGAATAATAATAGCAGTGTTATAGTTGATAAAATAAAAAGTTTTTCTTAAAGTAAATTTTTCATAGAAGTATCTAGTAAAGTCCAATTATTTTAATCTTGTGTTTGATGATCAAATGTTTCAGGACATGTATTATTGATGAAAATAAAAATGTTGAAAAAAAAATCAGGTGTTCTCCCCTTGTACATTTTTAGATTGTGACTTCTTTTTTTAATGCACACTTTCAGTAATCTTCAGATCTACATAGGGTTACCAAACACCTACATGCCCAAAGAAGGACAAAATAGGACCATGCTATACAAAGGAGGACAAAAAATAAACTTTGAAAAGTGGACTTCTCTTTATTTTATTAAACATATAGTAAATTATAGGCTCTGAGTATTAAGTTTCATTAGAACAGTTTTGTAGTAACCCGCACTACTGGTCACGGAGAAGCTTGTCAAAAATGTTTTGTCTTTCTGTCCTGCAAATTATTTCAAATTGCAGTACTGCCCACAGGTCAAACTATTGAACATCCTTCACATCAATACCTTTTTCCTGCATGGCATTAGATCAATGGCTAGCCCTTGAATTTCTTAAAGAGAGCCATCCATTTTTCAAATATTCAATGCAGCTTTGTGTGTCACATGCCTTGCATTTGTGTTCATAGCTTTCATAGCATTTTTTTTTCACCTTCAATGAAAGAAAACTTTTACTTATCGTGTTTGCACACATTTGTTTTGTTTTGCGAACCTTCATAACAAACTTTTATTTCTCTTAAATGGCTGCAATTTTTAATTAAAATACTGACATCAGTGAATACACAAAGTACTAATAAACTTCTGACAAATTGGTCTTTAAAAAAAAAAATCTTGATCAACATTGTTGGCTAATCTACAATCAGGAAAGTATGCTTTCAATGCTGGGAATAGTTAAACCATCATGTCGATTGCCAGGAATAAGCTGAGCCATCTAGCTTTGCTGTGGTATAGTAACTGCTGATAATTAATACTTACTAACTGACAGAAGTCTTGAGAGCAAGAGTCTCTGGGCACAATATAAATTAATAGACAATGTGAGTCACTATCACATGCAATTATCATGCCACTAATTATATCAAATAAAGACAGTCTTGCTGTGAAGCTTTACATCTTTTGAATTTTCTGTGTTAAAGGAGTGTTTATATTTAATCAAGAAGTATTAAATTCCATTCATAAGATAAGTAATTGCAGTAAACAACAGAGAAAAGGCTGGACATTGTTACACTTAAGGCTAATGCCGGCCGGACCGAGAACTCGAAACCAAAAAGGAAAACATGGCCTCCTTTTGCCAGACATATGGTAACCCTAGATCAGCAACATGCACCCCTATGTATGACTCCCAAGAAGATTCATTTATTAACCAGCTAATTAAACTAAAATAGATCAGTGAGTCTGTCATAATGAACTTCTCGCTCATTCAATGTCATGAATCACTAGATCATTTGGACATGGGTCTAAAACTAGTAAATAATATCAATAACCGTTTTATTTATAGAGAAGAAAGCTAATAGCTCAGCACTAGTTGACATAAAACAATTTTACAGTGTTGTAAAGGTAAATGAATCTAACCCTTTTCAGCAAAGATATATAACATATACTCTAGTAACCAAACAGAGAGGGTGGTGAAGTCAAGTTTTCTGTCAGTCTACCAGGTTCAAGACTTGAGGGTATTAACAACTTTCAAGAATAAAATGAATGCAAGGTACATGGTAACACTTTCTTCAAACATTTTTCATGGAAGGCTTTATGTGTGTCATTATGGCATGTATTAGTAAGTGACTAATTAATAAAGACACTGCCATCGATTCCAAAGGTTGATGATGAGTGTTTCACAAGACTATGCTAGCCCAGTTGCACCATGCATATTTTTCTACATTTGATGCAAAGCTGTCTATTTAAGAAACATATAGTTGTATTTTTTCTACTATAGTTTCTCAGGAACAGTCTTTAAACAGAGAATGCTCATGGAGACTTATTGTATGGTACCATACAAGGCTATTTTTAACTTTTTATGTGACTCCAAAATTGTGGCTCATTTTCTCCAGTCCATTCAAAATTACAATATTCAGATATGTTGATGTGTGTCAGCAATGCTATAGTGAATCTAGGTAGAATAACCAAGACACAAAAAGTTAAACTAACATTACATTTCCTGTATGAAAACAAAAGAAAGATCTTGTTAGTCAATCTGAGAAATAACTTTTTCATTTATTGGACCATACATGTTTAGATTTGACTTAGTAGATTGCCTCCCTTTAATTATTGTTTTTTAGAACTGTGATTTGTATTTTAAGCTTTGAGTTTCTTTTAACTTTTTAATTCTTAAGTGTTCGTTTTTTAATGTGTCAAAAATTTCAAAATCATGTATAAAGCACACAATTTATTTCATAGTAACTACTTGATGACCAAACACACCTAAATGTTTCAATGTATTGCTGCTGGATAGTCCATGAATTGCAAACACCAATGTAAAAGTACAATACTATGCACAGGTATACTAACAAATCTAATATATATATATATATATTTACTATTTCAAATACTTCTTGTTTAATAGATTAACATCACTGTCAATCAAAACATAATTTGAAAAACAATCGTATAGATATAACAAAAGTTTATTACAAATAAGGTCAATACAACTGAATCAATGTTTAAGCAAGTTAATTCAGCACAATAAACTTAAATTCAACAAGCCAAACTAATAGATAATGTACACTATTTACAATTTTTTTACATGATTTAACAAAACTATAACATTATCCAACATAAGAAACAAGTTCAAGACATCAATGTGAAACAACAAATGGAATAGAATATAATTATAGCTTGTGGGCAACAAAATGTGGTTCACATTCTCAAGTACAACATAAAGCGTACTTTAACTAACTGTTTCAGAAATAAAAACTTATACTATTCTTTTACAGAATCTTCAAGCCTATTTAAAGAATGAAGTATTAAATACAGTTGCATGAAACCCTGCAAAATAAATCAGAGAACAATAAATCAGAACATGGCAGTATGTAACAATATATCAGAACATGGCAAACTGTAACAAAAATATCACTAGCATAAAAGCAAAAACATGTTTGTGATCACTATTCAATAATGTGTTGATAATTAGGATTGTAACTATTGACTTCCTGCACGATGCTAGAAAGTTTTTATCTTCAACGTGAATCCATAACTCTGACCAGGCACAATCTCAAGGCTGCACCAAACCAACATTAGCTCAATGATTAGGATGAAACTGATTTTGTACAGTGTTCAGTGACATTCATTTACACTGCTGACTCGATATGTCAGTCTGGGGAGAAAAGTAGCTTAAATCAAAAAGTGAAAGATTACTTTTTTTTTATTAGCTGAGAGAATTTATGAGAAACATTTCACCATTTTAATTAACGTATAAGAAATCAACAACAATTATATGTAGTGATGAACATCAATCTATTTTCATAATCTTTATGTGTTTATTTACCTTTTTTTTGTATTTTAGATCATAGGCAGATACAATAAAGATCAATCTGGTAATGTTAAGTGAGGCAGCGGATAAGTTTGTTTGAGCATTTCTTCAAAATATTGGCACAACAACTGATCTTCTTTACTAGGTCCTCTTTTGGGTACCTACAAATAAAACAAAAAATCTTAATAAAGCAGTTCGGTTTATTTTATTTCATAATTAACATCATACACATGTATATAAATGTAATTTATGGTTAACAATTTATTACTAGGTTAATTTAGGGGCATCTTCAAATTTGTAATTGTCTTGTAATTTTGTTTTATAAGTATTTGATGTTGAGACCCAAGGTACAAGTAGCCTTAAAACTTTATTTGTCAGCATTCTAGCAAGCCTTAATTTTCAAGGAGTTATAAGGAAACTGAATTTTTTTGTTTTTACTTTTTTCTCTTTAAAATATATAGGCTAATTGTTAAAAACACACATTTATTGTTAATGATTAATTAATTATTATTAAAGATATACCCCAGAAAAAAAAACCTCACCTGTAATAGTAAACAGCTGCAGTCATCAGACTTTCCATTAATCCTAGAACCATTCCTGCCATCAGACAGCTTGTGCAGTAGCATCGGCAGCTTGCTGTCATCCTTCACATGGATGGTGAGAATATTGTTCTCACGACAGAAGGCTTCTATCAAGGTCTGGTTTATGTGGACGCTGACATTGTGCCGACTGTCAGGTAGGAGGCACATCATGACAGTACTTGGTGCACTAAAAAAAAATAAATGAAAATTAAAACTTTGTTAAATATTTTCCTCTTTACAATTCCATGAAAAAACATTGGAAAAAGTAGAAAGAGCAAAGCAATTGCATTATTTTATTCAGATTATAATTCATTTTTTCATGTTTGGAAGCCCCACATACTTCCAATGGGAAGCTATACAAGAACTTTGACCTACTTCTAGAAAGAACCAAAGTATTTTGCTGAATCACCCATTTGTGTCAATCATCACATGATATAGGTCTTATTTTATAACTATAAAAGATTTATATTATATAACAATATTGTAAGAATAAAATATCAAATTGTGTAGTTGTTTTTGACAGGGTTTAGTAAATGCTTAGCAATAAATCAATGCTATCTCTATTTGTTTTTCTTATTTTACAATAAAACACTGACCTATGGAGAAGCTCTCCGCAAGCTTTCATCCCACATGTTAGTCCATGTCTTCTTAAAGCTTGCTTAATGCATGCTCTTAGCGTCAGGCCCATCACCTTGAGTTTTCTAGAGAAAAAAATATTTAAGATATAATATTTTTTTAGCAATACTATAAACAATACATTCAACTACTGCCTGATGCAAAATAATTTACATTTACATTGGTTATGATTCCATGATACTAGAAGGACAATTGTGTTTTCACAAAAACCTAATTTAAAAAAAAAAAATAGAAAAACACACAAAGACACTTATAATAATAATTTTTATAAAAAAGTCATGTTTAAATATTGTTAGTATGGAACAATTTGTTGACATTATATTGTTTGTTAAGGATGCGCAGTGGCTGAGAGATAAAGTGCTTGGCTTCTGAATCGGGGGATCCCAGGTTCTAATCTAAGTGAAGACTGGAATTTTTTATTTTGTTATCGTGCATTAGGCCCCCAAGCTTTAATGGGTATTGGCA